TTAGCTAGCGTTCAGCCTCTTAGCTAGCGTTCAGCCTCGTAGCTAGCCTTCAGCTTCTTAGCTAGCCTTCAGCCTCTTAGCTAGCGTTCTGCATCAAAACTGAAACCCTCCATCATGTTTTCATCTCCAGAGTTTAAAGAAACGTCTGAGCCGTTTTCTTTGAGTTTACTGAATTACAGACGTTAATTAAAGCAGCAGCTCAGCTGTTTGTTTTTTTTAAAGGTTTTTTATTCTGGCTGACAAAAAGACTCTTCAGTACGGGTGCTCTGCTAACGCAGCACATGTCAGAAAGCCAAAGAAAACAGGCTGATAATCTTAATCTGCACAAGATTACACGCAGGGCTGCTGTTGTTTGGAAACGACAGCAGATGAAGCTGAAGCAAGTCGACACGCGCCGAACAGGAAGTAAAGGAGCAGAAACGCCTCCGACCAGCCGAATCAGTAAAAATGATCTTTGTGGTGAATAAACTGTTTCGTTGTGTCAACAGTGAAAGCCTGACATGTTCTGTGAGTTGGGGGGGGGGGGGGGGGGACCGGGGTGATAGGGTTTGGGGGGGGGGGGGGGGGACACTGAGATGATTTTAAACATCTCTGCGGTGTCGATTTAAAGCGTTTTGGTTCGATCTCAGCAGCTTCCTCAACTCAGCAGCTTCCTCAGCTCAGCAGCAGCACGAGTTAGTGAGTTAGAGACATTAAAGGGATAGTCCGGTCATCTTTAGGTGACGTTCTGTCTAATCGATGTCAGCCGTGAGGAGTGTGGAGGTAAATATCAGACAGAACGTCACTTCAGAGATGGCTGGAATGTCCCTTTAAGACGTTCAGAGGCTTCAAATCCACCACAGAAACCCACAAGTGGCACCTCCCACTGATCAAAGTCTTTAAAAAAGAAAAATAAATATTCTGTAGATTTTTAGTGAAATCAAAACGTGTCACTCAGTTAAAAACAGACAACAAACGTTTACCGGACCGAGGTCAGACTGACGAGGAGTCCCACACATCGTTTTGTCTAAAACTGGACCGAGTCGTAACTTTGACCACAACTCGCTCATCGTTGGTCGTTTAGAGCGACTCCTCGTCACACGACCTCTTCAGTCCAGCAGAAAAGTTAAAACATCAGAAATAAAAACACGCAGGAACACGCCGGAAACAGTTAATGTGATTTAAAACGGGTTTTAAAGATGGCTGCCTCCGGCGTGTTACCGACGTCACAACAGAAAGAACCACGCTGAAAAAAGGGGCGGGGACAGGCTGCTGCTGCGACAGAGGACTTACAGGTATGGAGCGGCTCAGGTAGCGTCCCGAGGGGCCCTTCGTGGCACTATAGGGCCCGTGACCACTGAAGGGGTCCTGATGCAGCGAGCGGATAAAACTTTTGCCCGCAGGTGGCGCCACAGAGCCGCCGTACAGGGCGCCGCCGTTGTTGTTGACTTCGTGCTGCAAACCGCGAGGTCCGTTACCGTAGCAAGATAGAGAAGGCGGGGCAATAGATGAGGGGGAGGGGCCTAAAGATACAGAGGAGGAGGGAGGAGCAGAGGAGTACGGCGTCTTCTCGTCCTCCTCGATGTCAGCGGTGTAGAGATCGCCGAGGGAGTTGGCCAATCGCAAACCAAAGGCCGAGCTGAGGCCAGCGGGAGGGGGAGGGGCAAATACAGCAAACAAACAACAGGAGAGGTGTCAACAAAAACAAACAAACAAACGATGCTCCGACAGATGTTGGACTGCAGCGTTCCCAAACAAACGGAACTGAAAACGTACAATTATAATCATAAACAGCAGAAATACCCATTTTCTTATAAAATAGTGACATTAACGAACTGAACAATAAACTTGACTTTTACCTGGAAAACATTTTCTTAGATAATAACTGCAAAGAAATAGCTTTTTTTTTAATGAAGTCAAAATGGTACTCAAGCTGAAATCTAAAATAAATACTTTTTTCATAAACGTTGAGAAGTGTCACAACGTTCAAACTTAAAAATTAAACAGTTTGATTTAGTCGTGATCATCTACAGCTCATCTTTGGTGCGTTTGTTGGTTTTTGTTGTTTCCTTCACAAAATAAAACGTTGAAATTTGGCTTTATTTGTATTTTTAACGATCAGAGTTTTAAAAACTTTTATATTAGTTTAAAACCGACAGTCTGGATAAGTCGGGTACGGTGAACTCAGCTGTTAATGTCAGACAGGAAGTCGGCTCTGACCTTCTCACATTCGACGCCAGCGATGAAGAGTTCCTCCCGATCCGTTTGGCTGCGGCGGAAGCAGAGGATGCTGGGAATTTGGAGGGCTTGAGTGCGGAGGAGTGTCCCTGACCGCCCCCCATCGACAACCTGAACGCAGATGCAGAAATCCTGATCAATACCTGCAGCGAACATGGAGTGAACAGGCGGGGCTGATGGGATGAAGGTCGTACCTGAGCGGCTGCGAAGAGGAGCGGCTCTGCATCTTCATCTCGTCAACCCTGAAAACCAAACCACACCTGTCAGCTCACACCCTCACGTTACCTGTCGGACCAGGTGACCACAGACCGACAGGACTCCAGACGCTGGAGTTCAACCCTGTTCCATGTTGGGATTAAATCTGTAGCTGAAGATTCATCCCAGTTAATAAAAATTAAACTACTGGCACTCATTTTCCTCCACTGCAGCTTAAAAACGTTGTGAGCTCCACCTTTAAGGTTAAAACAACCCCAACCCCCCAGTGAGGCGTTCTGGTACCTCAGTGCTCCAGCGGTGGACGGTCGAGGAGGACGTCGGCTCTTCAGGGCTCTTAGTTTGTCTCCCTGAGTCAGACCTGAACCGTCTGTAAGGCTGCCCTGGAGGATAAAACAAGCGCCCCCTTCAGATTAAAAACAAATTACATACAAAAAAAACAACACAGAACTAAAGTTTATAAGATGTGTGATAAAAGAAAAGAAAAAGAAAAACAGTCAATACAAAAGTCGAATTTAACAACTGACCGTGCCCGAACAAGGTCAAGGTCAAGGTCAAGGTTCTTTATTGTCATTTGCATCACGTGTGGTACATGAGGTGGAAAGAATTGTGCACACAGGGTCCCAGTTACATCCAACAAAAGTATGAATTGTAAAAGAGAAACGTTAATAAGATCTAAGATATGAACAAAGAAATACACCAAGACTTTCGGTCCAGGTCTAATGCAAATCGTGTCAATGCTAACTAGCACAGCTAATGCTACTCATGCTGATGTTGATAAACAGCTAAAGTTTCTTTGCAGCTAAACTACTAAATGTAGCTCGCATTTTGCTACTTTTAACTTGTAGCTCGCATTTTGCGACCTTCGGCTCACATTTTGGTACCGTTTTCTAGCATTTTGATTTTTTACCTAGCATTTAGCTATTTTTAGGTTTGCTACTTGTACTGCGCTGCCTTTAGCTAATGTTTTGCCTTAGCTCAGATTCAGCTTCTTCAACAAACTTAATTTAAATTCACGCAGGAGAGTTCATTCTCATTTCTAACCCTAGTTGTAGTTTTTAGAGCGAGACGAGGAACGCGTTTCGTTTTATCGTGTCTGAAATAAAGAATATTGATCAGTCCGTGTCTCGCCTTGTTGCACAGTAATGGTTTAGTTGTTGATCAGCTGTAACGTCAGTTTATTATCCTCCAGTTCATTTCTAAAAGAGCAGCTGAAACAGATCCACTTCAGAGCTAGGATCAGCCACAAACAAGCTTCAGTAGTCACAGCTGTGAAACGTGGCGTGAGATCCTGACCTCCTGCAGATGGGTGGAGATGGACGATCTGGTGTTTAAGGAGAGCTCGTCCATGCTGGTGATGAGTCGAGGCACCGCCTTGTCTTCCGCTTTCCCTTTCTGAGCGCGGTAGCTGTCGCCCTGCAGCCACATCAACGTCTGCTTCCTGGTGAACAAACAAAAACGTTTTAACGACTGCATTCGGTCTACGGAAGTTAAACGTGATAACCGACGTGATGGAAGTGTGTTCTGGCAGAACAGAAACTTTCCCCTAAGAGTCGAGTCAAATCCATGTTTTAAATCAGTTTTCTGATAAAACACCAGCAGGTCGGTCATAAATCCTTTGGTCAGACTTGTTCTTCGGTCCACTCGTTTTATTTTTGCAGGATTTCCTGTCTCTGATCGGACTTTTCCTTATATGAAGGAATGATTGTGCAGGAAAGCTCCTTAGCTGTGAACTTTATTATGAAAGGGCCCAAAATGAGGAGGGGAACTTTTCATCACTGAAAGCTTTAGTAGCAAAATGCTACAAAGAGTAAATAAAAGGAGCAACAGGCTAGCTTAAAGTAACAGTAGACTAGCAAGTAACAAGACTTTCTAAAACCTAAAAACACAGAAGGCTACCCAACAGCTAAAAAAGCAACTGGCTTCCTAGAAGGTAAAAGTAGCAACAGACCAGCTGAAAGAAGCTAAAACAATGAATGCTAAAAGAAATGGAAAGCTAGCAAACTAAGATAGAAACAAAAACTAGCTGAAAGCAGCAGAATAGTAACTAAAAGATAAAAGTAGCAAAGTGCTAGCTAAAAGGAGCAGAGCAGTAGCTAAAAGCAGAATACGGTCGAAACAAAGCCATCGTTTCTGTATTAACTGAAAACACGTTTTTAAAATGTAAATAACGAAATATTTTGAAAAACACGTTACCAAACGTCACAGAACCCATTTATTGAATGAGCTGAAGGTTATAAAATCAGCTAAAGCAGCAAAAAGTCAGCAGGAGCGGTTAAATTGCAAAAAAAAAAAAAAGATTAAAACAACAAACAAACAAGAATTCCAACTCAGCGTCCAGACAAAAACTGTTCATTCGATCAGAAATAATCAAAATAAGATTTAATTGTATTTTCTCTAAAAAGTAATGAAACAGACGTCAGGTGACTCACTCTTCCAGGAAGTTCTGCTGCGGCCCGATGACAGAACCCGGCCTGCAGATCCTGATCCAGGCGATGGCCTCGCCGGCCGTGAAGCGGTAATGCTTCATCAGGTAACAGCCGACCAGAGTGCCCGTTCTGCCCAGTCCGGCTGATGGAGACACAGAGGGGACACGGGGAGTCAGCTCAGTGGAGCCCCGAGTTTCCTCCTGATCGTTTGGATCAGAACTGCAGTGACCCGGACCACCGGCACTTTCATCGTGCTCAGTTGGAGCCGGTTTCACAGCTGCTGTTGTGCTCCGACACAAGAGTCCCACATCTGGACTCTGAAAGAAGCCAGAACTAATGAACAGAGGAGAGATGTTCTGATCCGATCGGGGTCATCTGTAAAACCTGGCATCGTTGAACGGGTGATCGTCTCCCTCTGCTGCTCGCTCTGAGAACTACACCTCCGATCTCCAGGACATTAATGAGGAGAACCAAGGAGATGAAGACAGGAAGTCCCTCACCTTTGCAGTGGACCGCCACAGCTCCTGCCGCGTTCTCACCGATGTACAGGAAACGGCGGACGATGATGTCATTGGGCGTGCTGCCGTCCACGAAGAAGAGGTCGTAGTGTTCGAAGCCGGCGTTGGTGAAGCGCCTGGCGTCGTAGATCTTCTTGTTCAGGCGGATGACGGTGGTCACGTTGTGTTTTCTGAAGTAGGGGAAGTAAGCCTCGGGCGCGTGAAGAGGGTAACCTGCAGATGGGGGCGGAGCCAAAACAGGTGTGAAACACTTTAGTACGAGTCTCAACTCTTTCTTCAGGCACATTTTGTTTAAAAGTGATTTTTTTATAAAGATCATGTCAAAATAAAAGCCCCACTACAAAATAAAATAAATAAAGATAAAATAAAAGCAGTAAATAAAGCTGAGGTATAACCATTAACGGTGCCAAAGCACTTCCTGTTTGTCTTCACTTTGAATCAATTACTCACTTTAAACTAAATATCTGAGGCCTTTTTACGGAGCTGAACAAGCAGAATATAAAAACAAGAATGGTTTGGACTTAAATTATCTGCTTCTTAAAAAAATAATTTAAAAAAATTAAACTTTCTGTCAAGGGTTATCACTTTTTGTTCACTTTCAAAAGAACAAACTGCATATTAGCTTCTTGAAGGCTTCTGTAAAATGAAGCATTCAAATATGAGAAGCTCAGGTGTTAAAATATAAAACAATAAATAAAAATAATAATATTACATAAACTGCATCTTTAGGCTTTTTACCAGCACAAACACAAACACAAACACGTTTCAGATTTCAGACGTCAACTTTCTGGAAAATTTCAGGAGTGGAAAAAACAAACAAACAAAAAAAAACAACATTTATCTCACTTGTGTGGCATCTCTGAAAGCTTTGGAATCTGACCTAAAGTTTTTATTTCCTGAAACACGAGCTGAGGTAATGATGATGCAACACTTGAGCTGAATTTCATCCAACTTGATACAGAGTGGAAAAACTTCAGTAAAATGTGGAAAAACACAGTTTTATCACTTTTGTTGCGTTCATCTCGACCATCTAGACAAAAAAAACCTAAAAAATTGTCTTCAATATCTAACTAATATTACACTTAAAGCTGTTTTAACAAAAAAATAATAATAATTCTGAGAGTCCAAAAGCAAAGCTACTCCTACAGAGTGAAGTTAAAGCCCTTCCCGTTTCCTTTAACATTTTAATTAAAGTTTTCTGAGCTGGTGTAAAAAATAAACGTTAAGACAAAATGTGAGAAAGATGCTTCAGTTTGTGGTCCGTCTCGTTAGAACGCACCAAGAAAAACGAGACGTCGTTTTGTTTGTTCGGAGGAAAAAGGCAGAACTTTGTCGCTCACCGTTTTCTACTTTAGATTTAGGATGGGGTCCGCTGAAGGCCAAAAACTTCTCCGGGACGATCCAGTTCAGGTCTCCGTTCTCCACACGCTAAACACAGAAACTCAGGTTGAAAAAGATTTCTAACTCTAAAAGAATGTTTTAAGTCATTAAATTAATCACAATAAGCCACAGCTCTGAACATTTTATTGTGATTTTCAGATTTAATAAATTTAATTACTTCAGACACTCTGATGAGAGCTCCAAACTCCACGTTTAGGAGCCCCAACTGCAACAAGACCAAAGATAACCTGAAGGTTTTACTTCTCAGTGAGTTGCAAACGCACCTGCAGCTGTTCTGGTTTGGTACCCGTCTTTACACTCACTGATGAGTCTTTACCCTCAGCGATGAGTCTTTACACTCACTGATGAGTCTTTACCCTCAGCGATGAGTCTTTACGCTCACCGATGAGTCTTTACGCTCACCGATGAGTCTTTACGCTCACCGATGAGTCTTTACGCTCACCGATGAGTCTTTACGCTCACCGATGAGTCTT